TTGTGGATTCTAAGGCAAAGAGAAGAGGCCTCAAACAGGTGTCTGCAATGGCCAGGGCAGCTGAAAGCCACCAGCAGGTCACATACCTTGCCAGAAAGGAAGGGTTGCTTTTCCAAAGTACTTAATCATGGGAAAGTATTTCTGAAAAAATCGTTTGTTCAGTTTAAGGTCATTGTTAAAAAAAAAAAAAAAAAAAAAAAGAGTAGAAAAATAGGCTGTGGGTGTTTTTCCTTTTTCGAGAATATTCTTCCCTGTAAAAAAAAACATCATTTATCCTGAGTCCACGTCTTGGTGGAGCTGCTTACACTCTGGCCTTATGTCACAGCTTGTAAACAGAGCTCACATTTTCCAGGGAGATGGGCCCTTCTCAGTAACAGGAGAGTCGGGGCCAAATATCAACCAAGATATCAGCCAAGAGCTGYCTCTGAGAGGCTCTCAAATGATTCTTCAGGTAGTTTTCCATCRTGCAAACAGCACTTTGATGCAGATATGAACTAGCAAGGCTGTTTTGAGGACTCCTAATTGCTCGTGGATCTTGGATTTGGGTCATGTTTCCAAGGCAAAGTTCTCCAGCCCTCTGAAAATGATCCTTGGTCCYACTCTTTCAGCCTCCCTTGAGGTGGTCAGTTGAGCCAGATGAATCCCATTCAGGGTGGGGCTCAGTGCTAGCAACCTGAGCTGGTTACCTGGGGAATGGAGAAAAGTAACCCAAATATGGGTAACTCAATAACTCAAGTAAAGATAACCCAAGTAACCCAACGTAGATACCTATGGTGGGGGTAAGGAGGCTCCCKTTGAACGTGACTGTTCCTCTGCACTGAGAACTGGGGAAACCTAGATGACTTGTCTAGGCTAGATGCCTCTCAAGCACATTTAAGATCTGCTTTTAGAGAGTGGTAAAAGGAGAATAATGTCATCATTTGCCTCCATCCAGGTCTTGTGTATCTTGGTGGTTGATATAAAGTGCCTGAAAGTCCAGCTCATCCCTGTTAAAGCAGTGAGTCTGGCACAGCCTTGGTACCTCTGAAAGGAGAGGGCAAAGCCAAGCAGGCTGTCACCCACCACCCCACACCCTCCCTCACCCTTAGCCTGCTCAGGAGACTGGTTGCAAGAAGAGAGTGATGCTTGGGGTCCACGCTCTGGGAAGGATGGGCTCAAAGGGGACTGTGCTGTCCAGGAGAGGTGAGATTTGTCTGTGCGAGTGCTGCTATATCTGCATCAGCTTCCATGGGGCACGGAGCCCTGCCTCCTGAACAGGCAGAAGGAGTTCCAGAAACCCGTCCTGGTGGAGTCAAAGAAGAGCAAGAGCCACATTCGGCTCCTGAGCCCCTTTGGAGAGAGCACACGGATTACTGCTGTGTTGAAGCAAGTAAAAAGCTGGAGGGAGGCACTTCAGCTGCGTAAGGTTTCAGTTTGGGATACTTTATGTAACGTTAACAGTGCAAGGGAGGCAATGTGCAGCAAGGGCAGAAATCTGCCTTCTGCCTTCTCCGAGGAGCAGATTTATGGCAGGGAAGGAGAAGGGAGAAATGTGGGCTATGCTGAGCTCGCAGCGGGCATGGGCAGGAAGCGGCTCGGCAGCAGAGGAGGAGCTGCGGCTTGGCCTCTGCTTCCAGCGTGAGCAGCTCTCATTTCTTCCACCGGACACTCCCAGGCGCTGCTGGTAAGGAGGTTGTTCTGGGGCGATCCTGGGTTTGGAATCCGCTTTTGGCTTTTTTCTCCTGGATGGGGCATTGTGCTCAAGGGAGGGATGGGACGTCAGCAGGCAGCAGGGAGGCCAGCAAAGGGAGGCACAAGAGGTGCCAGCTCCGAAGGAGAACGTGGACATCATCTTAAAGGAGGAGCATCCAGGCCTGGCAGCTTGGCTTTCTCTCCGTTTGGAAGGACACGTGGCGAGGAAGGATCTTGGAGGAGCAGCAGCCTGACCAGACACTGCTCCGGATGGCACTGCTGGTCAGGAGGACTGGAGGACAAGAAACCCAAGTGACCGTTGCCTGATTCTTCCAAAGCTACTGCATGTCCTTGTGGAGGAAATTAGGGCTTGCTGTCACACATTTAAAGGCATTTCTGCAGTCGCCTTGTCCAACCCTGTATTTAAAGTGTCCAAAAATTTTGACTGATGTGAGAGAAACCTTTAACTCTGAGGGGAAAGGCTTTTGGTTAATGARGTTCCCCTGAGTTTTAGTGGTGCTCTCAGCAGGGACCATGTAGAAGGAGGTAGTTAGAACTCAATTTTGGTCCCTTTGATAGATGGAGGACTGAGCCTGGATGCCAGTGYTGGGTTTTCGCTCCTTGAGAAAGGAGAGAAAATAAACTCATGTACTTGGAGGTGCTGGTCTGTGGGCAGTAGTGAGTACRTAGCACATTCCAAGAACCAAAATCYAGTTCCTTCTAGCTCTTACCAATACATCTGGACTAAGGTTTGATCTTGATCATCAGTGCAAACTGTGCATGTGGATGCATGAGACAGACAAAATGTGGTGGGAAATCCATGTCTCTAATACACTCCATAGGACATGCTGCACAGAGCAGGCATAGTTCAAATGCCTCCAAAGGAAGAGGTACCCAAGCAGCAACACGAACTGAGGACTGGTTAACTCCTCACCTATTTATTTGCCTGCAGGGTTAGTTATACAGGCTCTGCTGAGCTCCGAGCTGTCACAGTTGCTCAGTTCTCAACATCAGATCTAACAGTTTAAGAATAACTTGTGTGCACCCATGTGAAGCATGGGCACAGCAGTAGCAGCAGGGGCAGGGCAGCACTCAGATTTAAACACCGTATTTTTTGCAGATCTCTCTACTACCAGCTGTCTGTAACCAGCTGGCAAGGATGTGAGTCCCTCTTTGCTCTTTTTTCCACATGCCAAAGGAGCAAAGGAGRTTATTTTTCAGGTGAACCTGCAATTGCAGGCAGCCATCAAGCTGGGTCTAGTTTACGCTGTTCACAAGGAAAGCCATGCAGGTCTGGCACTAATGTAGCTTTTATAACTGTTTTTCCAGTGATCTCTCTGGAAATCTTCAGGGAATTTAAGCAAGTCTGTGGCTATGGCACAGGGAGGACTAAAATTTGGCCCGCAGGCTTTGCTGTGCTGATTCTGTAAGYCCACTTAGACATGCTCAGATGGGAGCAGCATCTCCCATGCTGGGGCATTTTGAGAGGCCTCTGAGTGCCCCTGTACAACTAAATACCTCTGGTGACGAAGGCATCCCCCTTCAAATGGAATATTTCAGAGGTTTGGAAGTGGCTCTGTGCTGAAGCTAATGTCACCCCTGGTGTCAGTCATCAAAAGTCCCCGTTCCCCCAGCAGCCAGCCCAGGTAGTTGGGACACAGCTGGGTTCACACAACCTCGGCTGCACTTGAGCACCAGTTGTGTGTTATTCTGGTTTGGTGTCTGTAATGCCYTGTGCCTATCAGTGCATGAGCAGAAAACGCAAAAAATTCCTCAGCAAGGAGAGTCGCTAGCCCATGCCTCCTTAATAAACAACTTTTCCTAACTTGAGTGCTCTCTTTTGCAGGGATCTAACTTCGAAAAGTGTTCCACATGAAGCTTTGCAAGGGTTTGGCAAAAACAAAAGCCAAGAGGTGCTGGCTGTTTTCGGAAAGCTCTTGGAATGAGCTTTGATCAAAACCAAATTCCCTCCTCTTTGGTACAGTATCTGCCCTTTAACTGTGCGTTCCCAGTCTCCCGACCTTGCGTTTATGAAAGAGCCAAGTGAGAGGAAAGCGAGGGCAAATGTCCCTCTTTGCAAAGCCCTGCAGTGGCCTTGCAAAAGATTCAGGAGCTGATGGTTATCGAAGCAGTTGCTATGTTGACTGGCCGTGGTTTTCAGCTGCTGGGAGTTTCCAAAGCAAATGAAATGTTATCCCTCAAAGTGGGCTCGAGTCCCCTTCCCTTCCCCCTTTTCAGTTGTCAAAAATACTACAAAGCGAGATGGAAAGAAACATGTAATCCTTCATCACGGGGAGGATTTACTTGTTTATTTAGATTCCTTGTCTGTTCCAAGTGTTCTGCCAGAGAAAGCCCATGAAGGCTCAAGGAGTGCTTGAGACACACACAAAATGTGGAGATATATAGCAGATAAATTCAACAGAAGATACTGCCTTTCTTCACATCACACCACTTCAGCAATCAGCTGAAAATCCCACTTGCCCTATAAAATATCTATGGACTGTTTTTTGTAGGAAAAAAAGAGAGAGAGAGAGAGAGAGAGAGAGAGGAGAGGAGGCGCTCATTCTGGAAAGAAATAAGTTTCTATGGTGGCTTCTGTAGATCAGCATCTTTATGATGGGGCTGTCCTTGATGCCCAGGTGCATTCTCTTTTTCTGCTTGGAAAATGTTTTCTGGAGAGAAAAAGTAGAATTTGGTGCTTCTGTAGTCAGTGAAGAAAGAGTTGTCTCCAGAGGGTGATTCTTCCCAATGCCTTAGGAAAYGAAGATCATACTCTGGAAAGGTCATTACAAGGGGAGCCCAAACTTGGTCTCTCACCTTTAGCTGCTTAAGAGAAGCCAGCAGGATCCCATCCTGAGTAACTTAGTGCACAAGAAGCACAAGCTCAGCTGATGACCCAAGAAATACATCAGTTCTGTTAAAGTTATGGGATGCTCCTTGAATGTTCCTAGGGGTTGCTGAGATTTTACCCTTTTGAGTTTCAGATAAAGGAAGCACATGTAATGAGCTGTCTCAGACAAATCAAGTCTTGAAAAGCCAGAAATAGCTCCAAATTTTTGAGTTTGGAGTTTCTGATAGAACTGAATCAAAATCTTCCTCCACAAATTCAATGTAACATTGGTAGGATGGACAAACGACTCTGAAGACAGCTCCACTATGAAYAGTTAATATCAATAAGATCTACATTTGGGGCCTTTTCTAAATGCAGAAGAGAAAGAAAAGCTTTCAGTAGAAGTGTAACCTGATGATATGAACTGAATCAATCCTTTCTTTAATAAATTTTTATGTAAAACTCACATGTTCCTATTTCTCTTGTGCTGTCTCCTCAGCTCATGTGCTCCTCTGTCCAGAAAGCCCTGTTCGAGGAAGAGGACAGAGTAAAGAAGCTGCAGCAGAAGGTGGCAACGCTGGAGAAGCGCAACAAGCAGCTGCGAGATCGGGTGAAGAAAGTGAAGAGGTCTCTCCGGCAAGCCCGAAAAAACACCCGGCACATGGAGCAGATGAACCGAAAGCTCAGTGAGAAACTTTCCTCTACAGGTGGCCAAATCCCCTATATTAACTCTTTAAAGCAAGAGAACTCCCATGCTTCCTACCTTAAAGTTTAATGCAAGCGGGAAGTGTCCAGGTGAATGATACTGGTGAGTTTTGCCTGCATTAGAACAGGATCTGGCCCTCACCCCTTGTCTACACTGTGCTTCAAAGGCTGCATGGAAAGCAAATCTGAGCTTGTGCTAGGCACAGTGCTAGAGGAGAGCAGAACACAAACCAGATTTCTTTAGGTGTTGAAGATACAGCCCAAAGCTATGTCCGTGCTGCTCTGTGTGGACATAGTCTGTCCTATGCCATCAGCCTCTGCAGCCACTTGACATAGGAGCACTTCTAGGAGGGCTCTGGTGTCAATGTGCTGCTCAAAGTGAGCTGTGCAAGCAAGGTGGAGGGTATGTGTGGAGATGGATGCTGTTGGAAGGGCAGACATAAATGTTCTTCACTCCATCATCACCCCCAAGCTCTTTTTCTGCCATTAAGCTTGTTGAAAGTGCATCCAGACCTTAAAAAAGGGCTATTTCTGGATAGTTTGGACACTATAGTGTGGATAATTGGCTTGGATTGGGGTTCCTCTTCAAAATGAAGCATGGATGTGCCCAAATTRTCTTAAGAATTTCTAAATATCACCTTTTTTATTTCACCAGAAGTACTCCAAGGGTCACAGTAACCCCCTCATATGCTTTCAGTGTTGCCCAGCCAACAAAGTTGGAAGCCACATCATTTTGGGACTGTGTCTAGTTCAGCTCCTGCAGTCAGGAGTGGACTTAGCATTGATTTAGAGTGGGTGCTGGATCAAGCCTAGCAGACCCTTTCAGATCCATTTTTCAAGCAGGTCTAATTTACAGTGTAGACAAGGTTTTACGTTTTGTAATCACTGTTTGAGGTATAATGGAGGTTGCTGGGAAACCTCGCTTAGTTATGCTTAGATACTGTAGAGATGATGTCAATATTAACAGGGCATTAAAAATTAAGGTAGTTTATATATGTATATATTTTAAAATCGTATAGAAAATATTTTTATTACACATTCGATATAATCTAATTTCTTAAAATATGAAGTAAATCCCATTTCTTGGTTATCTCATGTCAATACCATCGTGTTGTTTTTTTAGACATTTTATAACATGACTTCGAAATTGTGCCTAAATCAATATAGGTCAAGGTGTCAGYATCTGTGGCTGATTTCCAGCTGGTTTTCCAGCTGTGTTCATCCCATCTTGGGTCTCAATAGTCAAACCACCTTTTTTCATAACAATGCACCATAATGACAAGGGAGAAAGGTAGAAGAAAATGTTTTTGTGCTTTTCTTCCTTTTCAAATAGTTTTTCTTACTCCAAACATGAGACTCAAGGGCAAATATGCTTCTTGCCTTCCAAAAGGGGCAGATGGTCTTCRCCCAGCCAAGTGACAATGACAGCCTGTCAGGTCTAAACCTGAGCTGCACAAGATRGACCGATCCAGATGATCTTTAAGCTAGAGATGTGCTCCTCAGAAGCAGCAGTGTCCAAGCCACTGCTGAGCCTAGCTCCATGCTTTACTGGATCACTCTGTGCTAGTGTATGTGGCCTCCAGACTGCGTCTCAGCACTTAAAAATAGACAATATCCAGGCTTCAGCCCTGCTGGACCGTGCTGTAACTAGCTTTGCATTAGGAAAAACCCATATCAGTTTTCAACCATAATTGTCAATCCAAGCTGAACTCAAAAGTTAAGCATTGTGTTGGCTTTTAGGATGCTTGCTGCTGAGTTTTAGTTGCCTTCCAGTTTGGAAAAAAAAAATTTTTTTTCTCTGTTCCTGAAATAATATTGGCATTTCTTAAGATTCTAACTCCTCCACAATCCTCCCCAATTTCGAAGGCTCTGCCTACCGATTCAGCACAATTTGAGTCATTTTGTGCTGTAGTCAGCAATGTGATTTCCTGAGAACTGCTACAGACCTAAGGCTTCCTCAGGCGCCATCAATAGCCTTTTACCCCAAAAACATAAATCCATAGGAAAGTAACTAATGTCTTTGGTTTGCTTCTGGTTTCTAAACTGCTGTTTAAATAAAATGAAGTGTTTTTCCTGGTATAGGTATTAAAATTTTGTGTTTTAATTTTTRTTAATAAAAATATTCTCTCTATTCCTTTATGTTTTATAAATGTTTTTATAGAGCTGAGAAAATACAGCAAGTATAGCTATACCTTTGCTATTCTCACAATTTTTCCAAACATCATGTGAAAAGCTTTCTCTTTTGGCTGATATTTTCCTCTTGATGAAAAGATTGGAACTTTTATCCTATTTTTCCTCTTTCTCTAGCTTAAAAAAAGTAAACCACTTTGCTCTCCTTGTCAGTTTTGTGAGAATTTGTTACTTTGGTTTTGTACCTGGGGATTGCATTTGGTGCTTTGATCTTACTTGCTTACAATTTTTTTTTTTTTTTTTAATTTTTCCTTGTGATCTTCTGCTTTTACTCCTATTTGGTTTGGAAACAATTCCAGAGGTAAGAATTAGCAGTCAAATCAAATTTAATAAGCATGATGGTGATGGGTTTATGATTGCATTTTATGATCTTAAAGGTCTTTTCCAACTATAATGATTCTATGATTCTGTGAAATCACCAGGGTGAAAAGGATTTTCATCAAGTAGCACAGGTCCCTGGGATATTAACCCCAAATAAATGGGGTTTATCAACCCCATTCAACCCCAATCAACCGTATTGATTGCCTGACCCTGATGATGAGAGTATCCAGAGGGTGGGCAGAGGCTGCAAGGGTAGGAGATCCAAGTACAACAGGAGATTCCAGCTCCTTCCATGTTGGTCGGTACATTTTCTTATAGCCTGATACAGACACTAAGTTTTTAGACCCACTCTGTAACTATTTCTTGGAACAGCAAATCTGGAAACCCACAAGAACGACTAAAACTCATGCCGCTGTCCAAGAACCTGTGGGAGAGCCTGGTTTAGCTGGATAGAATTTGGAAAAAAAGTGTGTCTCCCAGGGTTTGAATTGGATGCTTCTCCTGCTCATCTGCACCCAAAAAGCACCTTCTGTCCTTAGGTTTTACAATAGGAAGATTTCTGTGGCTTTTTCAGCATGGATATTTGCAGAGCAGGCTGCACCAAATAAACTGTGTTATTTTCTCCTAAATCACAAGCATTATCCTGATTTAAGAGCCCTGCATGGGTAGYTCTGGGAGAACAGTATAGTGACGGAGGAGGATTTATGGAGAGCAGACAGCATCAGCAGCTTTCCCTGCTTTCCAGCACCAAAACCATTGAGAAGAGAATGATTTCCTGATGTCTGAGCAATAATTTAGGGAGATAGCCATGCTCACTGTGTTATTTTGTTTGMGTTTCAGCAGAAGGAGTTTCTGTAACAGAAAAAGCACACCAGTGTTTCAGAATTATATCAGCAAAGTCCATTTCTTATACATGAAAATTGCCACCAAGCTATGTAATCTCTCCTTAATGAGGCAAAAGACCAAGAATTCACTTCTAAAAGGAGGAGAAAAAATGTAAAGGAAAAACCATGAGAACAGATAAAACCAACAAGTTATGTCACTTGTTCTTATAATAAATCTAAGTAATTGCAAGGAAATTTCATTTTCCTTCCCATTTAATCCCAATTATTTTCATTTAATCACAGTAACGTTGCTATTTYGCTCCAAACCAGACTGCTTGGCGTGTTAGATATCAGTTCCAACATGAGCTTGGGTTTAGGCATGTTCCTAATCCCATAAAATAAACACAGAGAGCCGGACAGCATGTTCCAGCGTACGTGGCGCTGTGCTAGGAATGGTCATTTGCTCTGGTCTCCTTGGCTGTGCTGGGGAAAGAGGCCAAGTGAYCACAAGAGGAATTTTGCAAGGTCGTGTTGGAGGCTGATGTTAGAGAAGGCAGGAGCAAAGTGAAGTCCCTATATAGAAGCAAGTGTAGCTCATGCACAGGCAATGCTTCCTTTCCAAGGAATTGTCTTTTGGTGGGTAAAAATTCATTTAACTTGGCTGGTTTTTGCCATAAGATSGGCTTGGTAGTATCATAAAACTATGATATGGAGCTGCCTAACGATTTCTTCTTATGAGACCATCTTTGTGATTGCTTTTTACTTGGGTTAATGTTAGTTGTTTACAATCACATTTCCCTCTCTGGTTGTCTACCTCCTGAAGATTTTTTTTTAATTGAAATTTTCCACAAACAAGGGGCCATTTCTCAGAACAAGGTCGGGGGAAGGGGGATAATTGTTTTGCAATGTTAAAATATCATCAGTGAAGTGACATTTTCTTTGGCAGACTCCCATGTTTTGGAGTCYTGACAAAATCTGGCAAAGTCCCTTCACATCCTTATGACCCTCCCCACCCCAAGCTAAAACCAGCGGGAAGCCTTTGAAGTAGGTTCTTCTGCAATGCACAAAGCTGTAGCAGTGTTTCATGGCTAAAACTCCAGATCATCTGCTCTCACTGAGCTTTCTTGAGCCTCTCCTGGGTCTCCATCCTGATCAGATGATCCAGATGTTATGCACATGAAGCAGCATCGCCCTCCTGGATGAATGAAGCTGGATTCTTATTGCATCTATGGTTCTGGGACTCCTCCATGGACCTCCATGTACCCTAAGGTTGGGGAATATGCTGGGGGACAGGGGTGCTGGAGCTAGAAGCTGACCCTCGGAGTGCCAAGATAGGTCTTATGGAGCAGGCCGCCATGAACCTGGATGAGTCTCTGAAAAGAAGGGTGAGCAATTTGCCATGCACCATGTAAGGCCTGATGAAAAGGAGACCCAAAGGCTTAAAAACCAGGTACACGGGTGCAGGGCATATGCCTGAGGAATATGCATGAGGTGCTACCAGTAGAGCAGAGCAGGCTGAGCAATAGTCAACACTTTCTGCGGCTTCCTCTACGAGTGCCCAAATCAAGCAGCGCTTCACCTGGGTCAGTATTACCTCTTGTTTCTCTGGAAAAGTGTCCAAACACCAGGCATGGCTACAAGCACAGCTTCAAAGCGTAATGTTAAATTGTCCAGGAAAATCCATAGCTTTAATCCATAGCTTTAATAGCTTTAGTCTGCAGCAGAACACAGCAATGCTGTGTTTAGCAGCACAAGTCTACTTGAGCTCAGGGAAAAATCCTCTCATGAAGACCTTGGTAAAGCTCTGGGCTCAGTTAAAGCCACTCCACTATCCAAGGCACTTGTACCTCTACATGCACATATTCCGCTTCATCTCAGAAATGTCTTCCCAGAGCCCTTTGGGCAGGTCTCTGAGGACCTCATCACTTGGTGGCATTAGCGTGATGCTGTGCCCTCAGCCAACGGACACTGTCAGAAAGCCATGTATGAGCTCAGACCTGTAGGTATGAGGCTTTTGACCCCCTTGAAGGCAATGAGATCTGACAGATTGGTTTGCACCCATCCATGTTGACTTGTCATTTGAATCGCCCTAAATCATTTGTTGCCAGGATCCAGAGTAGGCTTTGTTTTACCATGCTTTGTTTGGAAATGAAGGGTGTAGGAGTTCCTGTTTGGCTTTTAGTTATCTAAATCTGAGACTAAGTGGAAACTGTGGAAATCTTTCTACCAAAGAATAGTACTAAGTGTTGGAGAAGTAATTGCTGACTGTGCCCTCTCAAAGTGAGACTTGCTCAACATCCTGCCCTTCTAATAAATACATGATAAAGCAAATAGCCCAGAAATTGTTTGCCTCGCTATGAGCTGCTCACAAGTGTAGCATCACATACACTACAGCAGAGTAGTCCTGCAAGCAAGGGGAAGAACGTGGTCAGGATCAGCACTGGTGAGAAATGGAGTGAATTTCARATATGTCCCTTCTCCTTTCCAACAAGGAAGTTTTCCAAGGTTTCTGCAGCCAGAAGCTGAGTTGCAGTGATTCGCAAATGCAATCCTGTCCAAGCTGCTGCCA